TATCATTTGTGATATTTATTACTGTGTGCATACTTAATTAGGAGAGATAAAATATAATAAAAATTCTCTTCCTCCCTGGTTCCATCGAAGAAGAAATGCTCAAGTAACTATGTAACACGTACGTAATCCAATTCCACAACACAGTGTGATGGGAAATCAGCTGTGTTTTTCTGCACATTTTATTTCGAATCTGGCGCGAACCGGTGAACCAGTCCCTGAATCAGTCACGTGGTACGGACTGCCCGCGAGGCCTCGAACGTCACTGCATACATAATCAAAGCAAGCCTCGATACACGCTTCACAGAAACACCCCCGAGATTACCCGACACACGATTGGACGCTTCGACACACAGGACACATCACTAGTTTTCTTGTCTTTTGTTGCTGCAAGTGTTTCCTTTGTTTCTTTGGCATTATTGGTAAAACGGCGTTGCCGGCTCTTTAAGTTAATGTCGTTTGTAATAAAACTATATTATTACAGAACAACTCTGTCTGTTTTCCTTTTCATTCTGTTTCCGGACTCATTTGTTACTGGTCCCCTCACTCGCATGCATAGACCCCTTTGGGGGGAACGTAAAACCCAGGCAATGATAGTCTTTGTCTCTGTGACAATATCGATGCACTTTAAGATATAGGCAATTACAGTTTGGCAGTATATATTCCTGCAGGTATGTGATGTTGTCATGTTTGGTGCTCTGTTTGAAGACCTCCCAGTCTGTGGTGAAAACACAGTCTTACAGTGCCTCTAAGGACCCTTGTCCACCCACATACCTGCTTACAAGTACAGTGGAGGGCTGTGTGTGGGCTGCGGGCCATACGTTGAGAACCACTATTTGAAACGTGAACATTGTTCTGTTACAGTCAATGGTATAACCAGAGAAGAAGAAAACAGACATTACACCATGAAGATTATCAACACCCGCTGTGTGGCAGGCAGGAGCTAGACCCAAAATGCAGCCTCCCAGAAACAAGCTTTAAACTCAAAAACCTCATCTTTATTTGCTGGCAGCGGAAAAGCATACAAAACAAAACTACACTGGGAAATATAAGTTCATAAAGAAACAGGGAGCGATGAACACACAGCAATGAGGGACAATGCGATACTGACACAGAGAAACACAGGGCATAAATACACTGGGAATAACGAGGGAATGAGACACAGAAGGAGAGCACAGCTGGGGGAAATAAGAACTGACGAGACAAGGAAGCAAAGTAGGATACACTCACATGACACACACCTTCAAAGTAAAACAGGAAGTATAACACTGAGACGCCAACTTGACACGGTGGAGACAGAGCAACTAAGAAACACAGAAGCTGTGTCTCAATTCAGAGATCGCACGCTCCGGAGTACACATTTTGAGACCTATTACATCATAGCAACGACGGCTGTTCCGATCCGAAGTGTACTCTAAATGTACTCCAAATGCGCTGTCGATTTCCCCAAATTTGAAATGTGGTCTAGCGTAGACTTCGTGGGCCCATATAGCCCACAATTCATGGGTGGCTGTTGCTCAGGTGGTTAAGCAGATCAACTACTGATTGGAAGGTTGGTGGTTCAATCACTGGTGTCCCCAGTCTACATGACAAGTTCCTTAGGCAAGATACTAACCCCAAATTGCCCTCCAATGTGTTCATTGGAGTGTGAATGTGTGTGAATGTAGATTAGTTTGCACTTGTATTTAGAACTGCTTGTATAAGTGGGTGAATGAGGTATAATATACATA